TTTTTTTGGTAGTTTTTTTTTCTTTTTTGTTGTTACATGATTTGTTTTTTTTGCCATTATGTTCTTCAACATTCATTCAACAAGAAAAAAAGATTTGTTTAGTTAACTCGATTTGTAGAATGAAACAATCGAGTATTGTTGAAAGATGAAAATATTTAAATCAGTAGCTGCAATTTCAAAGTAGTAAAAGTATTTGAGAGTGTGAATATGAATGAAGATGTGAGATTAATTGAACACACATATCTACAACAACCTATTGTACTTCGCCAGATAATCAGCAATGTCAAAAGTCCAAAAAATGTCCACTTTATCTAAAGTCCTCTATGAATATGTGGGACTTTACATATCTTATGAAATGTCACGCATATCAGTAGTGATAGGAAGAGCAAAATATAAATACTCCACAAGTGCATATTTTTGGGTGTGGGTGTGGTTGTAAGTGTGGATGTGGGTATGGGTGTTGGTGTGAGTGTTTGTTCGCTTCTTCAGGCACACCCACACCCATTTCAATTTAGATTATATTGACCTATGTTAGAATAATATTTCGAATGAAATTCTCATATATTCTATTTGGTTGACTCTATTCATTAATTTTAACAAATAGAACATCTTCTATTATTCGGGCAATTCCTCTTTCAATATTTGTTTTGTCAGCATCGCCGCACAACAGAAAAAAAACTATCATTAAGAGTTTATTTTCTAAAAAAATTCTTTATTTAAGATGATTAATGTCATAAATTCTAATCCATCTCGAACTATTCATTGATTGAGAAATTATCTATTCAATCTCCGAATATGAATCTTATTTATTTATATATACATATCGATAACACACGATCAAACACAATAGAAATTATCTTAGGAATTTTTTCATTTATCATTCAATAAAATCATTATTTACTTATTGTTTTGGCAAATCTAATTTATTAAAAAAAAAGAAAGAAACGATGTTATAAATAATAGAAATGTTTTATTGAATGTATAAATAAATAAATAGATTTTAACTATTTATTTTTATCACTTGTATTTACAGTTGAAAATGATCAACGATAATTAAAATAAACAGAGGAAGTAAATTATCCTAGAAAATATCATTGAAATAGAATTTTCAATTGTCTTATTCGATTGAATTTAAACTTAATTATTAAATGTTTATTATAGGTTACTTTAGATTATTTAACAGATTGTTATAGAAACACGAAAAACGTTTTTTTATGAACTATTACAAATATGGTATGTGCCATGTTATAGTCAAGTTCAATGCCAATAAAAGGCCATTCATCATAATTAAACCTTGATCAAGTTGTTATTATAGTTTCACTTATATATTTATATTGTTCGAGTGAGCATCAAATCAACGATAGAATTTAAATTAATAATTAACAATTATATTCTACTAGACAAAAAAACAAAAAATATAAATAATTATTAAAATCAAACAAAAGCTCAATTATGGTATTACTCTTGATAAAAACGTGGTTTTTTTTTCTAGTTTGGCAATTTGACCTCTCTTTGTAGTGAAATGAAAGGAAATAAATATAATGCATCGTAATAGATAATATAACGTATAAGTATCGATTTTACATAAAAAAACATGAAGTGTTTAAGAATAGATTCTTTGAATGAAAACAATTTTTCTTTTTGTGAAAAACTTTAAAATTAAGAATAAAGAAAAACAAAAGGATGAAATGCTTACGTAAATTGTATAGAATTGTTCAAGTGGACAAATGATCTGCAGAGAGGCTAACTTATAGATATATTACAGTCTATTGTCTACCATCATTTGTTATCATTTTTTTATTCATTCGTTTCGCAATTGATTTAATAAACGGCAATAAATTTTCAAATGTTATATAGAATTATTTTCACGCAAATTTCCACGAAAAATTGGTTTTATTTAAATATTAACTCTCAAGAAATATGAATGTTCTCTGATATAGAAGGCACAAGTAAATTTGATTTTAGATTTTCGACTGAATCGTGATTTCGACTATAAATATAGAGTTTTGTTTGTGAACTTGAAATATGAGAAGATTTTTTGTTTTTTGCCGAAGTATTCTCTAATGATGATATTGATATATCTGACTTAATATTAGTTCCTATACATGAATCGATGAACTATTTCAATCGAGAAGAATTCAATTGTTATCAACAAAACATATTTAGAAGAAATAATATTTAAATTAGAAATCTTAGAAGAGACCAACATTTATTGAAAATTCTACATAGTCAACTTTTCAAAGAAATTTTCTCTACAAACAAATAGATTTATTTCATTTATATATCTATATCGATTTTCTATGATATATTAACTCGTATATTTATAATAGTATTCAGTGGCGTAGCTAGGAATTTTTGAACTATGGGCCGTTTACCAGCAAAATTATTTTGAGCGCTGGGCAATAATGGGCAATTGAAAAATCAATTGGGCTGTTACTTTTTTCAAAAACTGTCTTCTTTCAGAAAAGTTGACGTTTGACGTAAAGAGATTTCTTACTCTCAACTAAGAGAAGCTCTATCTCTTTTGCTGTTCTTATCCACAAAACGAGCTTTCGATTTTCACATAATCGCATACTTAACTTCAAAGAAAAGTATAAAAAGATAGAATTGTAAATGACGATGGTAAGTATAGTAATTCCGATCCGTTGGGAGTTTTTTTTAACAACTGTTATCGAGTTTTTCGGATTTTTTGTATATTTTTTTCACAAAATAAGCAAAAATATATCTTTTTTCATATGTGGCGTACTTTTTTTGATGTAAACGCTGTTTGTGTAGAAAAGGAAGGATCAGGCTGCTTGAATCAGTCAGAATTCATCCAGAGATTCTTGTTATATTTTGGTAACCTACTTTTACATGAACTGATACTATTACAACAAACCTGTGTAATGGTTTGAAGTTGTAGTTTATTACAGATATACTTATACTGCTCTTATTATTTTTATAGCGTATCTCCTACAAACTTCAAAGACAATAAAAGAAATGTGATACGAAAGTAGGTTACAGATTCCGTTAATGAATGATATTTGTCTGACGAAGAGCTAATCAATATGAAAAATCAGTAGAATTTTCAGTGTTACGAATTTCTAAGTTTACTTATCGACGTTGATTGAAACAAAAATGATGGAAACGCACAGTAAACATTACTATAAGATAGCTGCAACCCTATCACTGTATCGACTGGGATACGAATATGGATGGTAGAGAAGTAGATTTCTCTGTCATATGGCCAGAGATATGAAAAATGACCTCATGTTAGCACTCATTTCGGTCGGATTCACTCAAACTCTCTCAGCGTTATCGATAAAGAAAAAACACTATGATTAAAATTCTGCATTATTTCACACACCGAATCTGTTTCTAATTGATGACAAAATCTGTTGAGTTCATGATAGTTTTAGTTTTTAAGTTGCGTGAGTTATGTCACCAGTCGTCCTGTCAAAGTATTGTATTTAGACTATGGCATTGCTATCATATAGGTTCAATATAGTTTCATAAATGCAGAAAAATCGTTGATCATTTACTCAAGTTTTCGATTGACGAATTGAAAAAGAGTGACGCGGGGATTGACGAAAAATACCGCTGAATTGTAATTGATGTAATTGTTTGTTTAATCAGAAAAGACCGTTCTACATAACTACTTAGATTAGATTATTATAGGAAACAATTTGATAAAATAAAGTTATTTCGACTCTGAACATGCGTGTGTCTCAGATATTTTGGTATTGGGCAGTAACTATCTTCCCGGAAAATTATTGGGCAATAATTATTCAATTACTGGGCAATTGCCCAATGGCCACCCCCTTGGCTACGCCACTGATAGAATTGAATAATCGTCAATTGTTCGATGTAATCTTATGTTAAATACTCCTAATGTGCGCTAACACGTAGATCATGGATTAACTCAAACTGTTCCGATATATAGTGAATAATTATCGGACGTATTAAACAGATTTCGTATTGATAGAATTCTCGATATGAGGGTGTGGGTGTGTGGGTGTGGGTGTGGGGTGTGGGTGTGGGTGTGGGTGGGTGCTGGGTGGGTGCTGGGTGTGTGTGGGTGTGGCGTGTAAGTGTGGGATGTGAATGTAAATGAACGGAAGATCCACACCCACACCCACACCCTAATTCGTGGATGCATTATTTGACTGCGAGTTGTGTAAAACTATTTTCACTCTGACTTAATTTTCACACATTACTTCAATATATTAGTTGACAGTACCACACGCATGCCCTTTAAAATGATAAGTGAAATTAATAAAGATCAATATGAAGGTCATCTTTCATGGAAAACCTCAAAGAACTCTGGATTAATTTGCATTCATATTAATCAGCATGTGTCGAAATGTAAGAAAAAAAATGTTTTAGGTTTCTACTTTCAACAATATTCATATGATAAACGTATTGAATCCTAGATTTATACTAGTACAAAAACCATGATAAACTATGTTTACAAAATTCATCAAAATTAACTTGGTGTACTTTGTCTTCTTTTTTACAGAAACTAGTCTGTATGAAGTAGAAATTTCAGCGAGATTTGTGCTTCTTCTTTTTTATACAACGTGTGTTATTACAATCTTAGAGCTAAGCTATCTTCTGTGAAATAATCCTTTTTTCAGTGATACTCGATCAATCTTTGTATTGAATAGAAAGTGCTTAAAATTCGTTAAATATATTTTTAAATATTACTGACGATGTATTCCCATGTCTCGAAATGAATAGACGTAAATTCAACAAAACATGTTTTTGCCATTACGCGAGAAAATTATTCAATAAATACTTCAGTACATTCGAATTGTATCAAACCCCTTTTTTTAAAAATATCATACGTACACGAGATCATCATCACCATTAAACTCTATGTTCGGATTAGATGTATTAATAGCTTCACGCCCAAAATAAACAAAAAAAGGAGTCAAATTTCCTAAAAAATAAAATAATGATCTCAATAAAAAAATTTAAGCGCAATGCATACCAAGGCCACGATGCTTTGACTGATTGTACTATTCGGAGTATGAAGATAGATTAGTGACCCAGTCGGTGTTGCCATTAATTAGAACATCATAAAACATTTTATTCTTCCAAGAACGATTTAAACGTTCGACCTAAATTCATTTGAAAGGGAATTTTGGATAAAATAGAAATTCATTGTATTGACTTACTTTTCCTTGGGATTCAGGATGATACGCACGTGATCGTAAATGTCTAATATTTCTTTTGCTACATAGTTCATCGAATACGCCTTGAAACTCAGTTCCTTGATCAGTTTGTATAATACATGGCACTCCATGTTCACGAAAAATATGTTCCAGATGATTCGTCACTTCAGCTAATAAAAGAATGTAATCATATTATTTTTCTACTATATTTTAAACAAAAGTTGGGATATCCTCATTTCTGTTTACTTTTCTAATTGTGTAGCTTAACAGTATTGCTTCTTAATATGAATTACAAGTGTCACATGTGTTTCGGAAGACTTAGAATATTTTAATTTAAACTCGATATCGATAATTAAAAACAATAAAATTTGATTATCTTCGCGAAACACAATACTCGTACCTGAACTTTTACTGGTCAATGGACGTAGAAATAAATATCTTGAGAAAATATCGACGACCACAAGCACATAACGATATTCAATACCATTTTCCGTAACAGGCCGACGGGAAAGATCAACTAGATCGACCTGTAGGCGTTCGAATACTTGTTTCGCTTGTATAAGCTTGCTTGGACCTTTATTTGAAAAAACTGGGCGCATTCGACCACGTTCATCATTTTCTTTGATTACTTTTGCAATTCGTGCTTCCGATACCTTGTTGTATATTTGACCTAAATAGGTCAATAACCTTGCAAAAGGCACTCGTATAACTGATAAACTTATCTTACTTAAATGATGATGTAAAACTCGAGCACCACAACCGAAGCGTGCATTGTAGTGTGCTAAAATTACTTTATCTACCTCTTCTTCAGCTAATAAAACTAATACATTTAAATGTACCCGTTCTTCATTAACGAAGATAGGATTATCTGTATGAGTCTTTATACTCAGTAACTTTCGATTTTTCCGAACATTATCATATGCTCGATGCATATCTTGATCATCCATCGTTGCAGCTTTAGTATGAAATGGCGTATTCTCCTTGATAGTAATATGCACTAAGCTCAATACAGATTCACTTAAATGATGACACCGCTTCGATTTTTCAGCAGCTAATAGATCATCAAATGCACTTTTTCAAAATTTTTTATTTACAAACTTTTTGAGAGCTCATCAAAAGCCGACATGATTATGATTAACACGCAGTAGAATGATCTACAATACAGAAAATATCACTTGATGTTACTGCTCTTTTTCTATTAACTAAAACAAATTGTCAAGGGAACAAACGTTATGGATTTTATCATTTCAACAGATCGGTGAAAATATTTTACAAGCTTTTTGAACAGAATAATGTATTATGATTACAAAATATCAATTTAATTTCGTCCCCAAACAAAATCATATTCGTTCTGTGACTGTCAAATATGAGTACGTTGACTGTTTCTAAGTGAGTCATCACTAAAAAAAAGTAGTTTTTATTCGTTATATGAAATAACCAACCCTTTTCCCCCATTAATGAATTTCTTGTGCCTCTATCATGGTTTCCATGTTTTTCCTTAAACCGTTGGATTCCCTTAAACGGTGCCTACAATGGATATTGATAAGTGGCGCCCTCGAAACCTGTCTTCATCTACAATTGGTTATCATTCGACATAGTGAAAAAGAAAGGAAAAAGGCAAAATGTTGATGTTGTTTTTTTTTTATTGAATTGAATAATGGAACAGCCACAACAAAGGTTAACTCGTCAGACAAAAGAAAATTTATCATCAACATCATCATCTTCTCGTATTCTCGATGCATCAACACGTGCACGTCGTACACAAAAATTTCTTGACTCACTTGAACAAGATAATTTTCATGACGATCCAACGGAACCATCATCATCATTCGATTCAACTTTAACTCAAGAACAAATAGCCAAAAGTCTTAGTAATACATCTGCATTTGGTTATAGTCGTCATTCTAAAGGATTAATTCTTGAATCTGATGAACCAACTACAATAACACCAAATTCATCAAATAAACGTCGTAAAGTACAATTTAAATATGATGTATTTAAAACACGTTTTCGTAAAAATTTACAAACATTATTAGATGAAGAATTAGGTTCTAATGGTGAAAAATCAATTGACGAAAAAAATTATTTTACTATTGTAGCTAAACCATCAAAATATCCATCTATAAAACTTTGTTCTGTATGTGGTTTTTTATCTCAATATACATGTCAAATATGTGGAAGTCTTTATTGTTCATTAAAATGTCTTGATATACATAAAGATACACGATGTTTAAAATTTACTGTTTAAACAAAAAAGATAACAAACGACAATTTATTTTTCTTTCTTGCAGATAATGTCACATACAATTCTTCTTCTTCAATCAACAAATAAACTTGATTCACGTACTTATTCTGATTATGAATCTGTTGATGAATGTCTTGATGGTAATATTGAATAATTTATTTATTTATTTATTTATTCAAAAATTTTTATTTCTATTAATTTTAATATTAGGAATATGTAAAGTATTTGAAGAACATTTAAAAAAACGTAATCCAACATCACCATCTATAACATATGATATATCTGAATTATTTGAATTTATTGATGAAATATCAGATTTAAGTTGTTTAGTTTTCCAAAAACAAACTGGACAATATAAACCACATAATAAAGAATGGATTAAACAAGAAATATTTCAATTATTACGTAAACAAGCTTCTGGTGGAAAATAAACAAGAACATTTTTAATACATGGGAATAAAGACATTTTTTTTTCTTCATTTTCTGTATGAATATGCAAATTTTTGTTTGGTTTTCTTCATTGTTTATTGATATCTATATTTAATCATGAATAAACCAAAGTTCAACGATATAGATAAACATAAAATATTTAATTAATAAAGTTTTTGGGAATATACCGAAACGAATATGAAGATAAAAATTTAATTCAAATTTTAGAAATCTGTAGAACTAAATAGAAAAATTTCATTTTCGGGAGCATTCATCAAAGATTTCTCCGAGTTGGGATTTTACAGATAGAGTTTGCAAGGTCTAACATTTTCGAATCCCGTCGAACTATATTTTGATACTTTCAATGAAATTTTCTAATTGGCATTGGATAGTTGCCATGTAGATATGAAATACTTTTTCTGTCTTGAAGAACAAACTTAGGAGAGTACATACATAAAACAAAGCAATGTTCAGGAACGCCCATCTTGTAATATCACTCTGGAAGTCTTCTCGGGAACTATTATGTCTGATTTCTGCAGCATATTAGTGTATTGGAAAAAAAGAACCGATTCGTTTCTACTGTATAATTTCAATAATAGTTTACATAATGAACAAGATCGATGGTATAGAAAATGACTATTAAAGTGAAAGACTTAGTCATTAAATTATATTCCAGTAAGATCGTACGATAATATTTGTAAATTGTTTTTTTTTAAGTATAGATATTTTGACAAAAGAACTATATATTAGAAAATCTTTGAGTATAGTTTTAGAAAAATAAAAGATATGAATCAATGAATGCAAGAATGAATATATTCGTCATATTTTCGTAATACAATTGAAAATCATCTAATTTTCATTATCTTGTAGCTTTGTTTGATATGTTACAATAAATCACAAATGAAATGTCAAAGTGTCAGATTCCACTATATATCTTATTTCTGAATCTTTTGCTTGCAAAAGCAAAATATAAAAGACTAAAAATTGATTTTTATATTTTTTTTTTTTTTTTGAGTTTCATATCGGACATAGCCTTTTAGAGAAATATTCCCGTTTTTTCTATAGTTCACCTTTTATCTACTGGTCTTATCATTTCAAAAAGCCAAATGGTTGAGCTACACCCTCATTCTTTACCTGTTTTTTTTTGACAATTCTTCAACATTTAAAGTTACAAAAAAGATTGAAGTTCACAATATTTCATGTTCGGTGAATAAAAGAAAACAGTGATCGTGTACTGGTAAATTTACCTACAATCTTTTTATAAAGCAGTAAAGAATGCCAAACAAATCTTGACCTTTTCATGTAATATTGTTTGCTCACATGTTTCTGTATTGTTCGAGATTGATATTCAGAGTACACATACTAAATGTTTAGATCTACTCTACAGTGAAATTTCAAACTTTTGTTTATTTTTGTTACAGAAATACAAGTGACATCATATAAAATTATTTTTGACGCTGTATTAATAATCTTAAATAAACGGTGCTATTCAAAAGATTTACAAATCGAATTTGTTTTAAATACATAATAAAAAACAAATCATTCATGAACGTTAATATATTTGCTCTTCTCATGGATCTATTACTTGCTACAATCGACTCGTTATTTTTTCTATTAGTTGTTTGCGCTTTTCTGCTATAAATATTCTCGATAGTTGTAGTATTTGATTTTCAATTCTAATTTTTTGTCAAATTGTTCATCTCTTAGTCTTTCCTTGATCGCATCATACATTGTTTATTGGTCAAATATTAGCGAATTTCACATTATCTACTATACATAAATGCTCGATTTGAACATTACGTCAATAAATATAATGAAAAGAATTGTTTCAAAAACTTCTTAATTATTGTCAATATGAGTAGATCGAAATCAGATAGGACATACGGTCATGAACCAATATAATCGATGACTATGCACTAGAGATAAACTTTTCAAACTCAATATATCTCATATACCATTACTTAGTGCCATGAAAGATTATCAACTTGTCTCATCTATTAACAGTTATGTATTAAATGATTCAGAGCAATTTAAATTTTCTTGTTTATCATTATATGAAAAACACCTATGTCTTGGCTATTTCAACGTCAAACAGTATGGTTTTTGGAACCTTTTCTTTCTATCTGACGCATTGATGATAAGACCATAAGTCAATGTTCTTTCTAAAGTGAAATATATTATAGAACACAAGCATAGTGGTTAACTAACTTGGAAAGTTCAAATAGTTTCATCTTCTTTTCGTTTATTTACGATAAAAATATATGGAATAGATCAGTATATAAGTTACAGTTAATCTTTCTGCATCAAATGTTTCATAGATGTTGTTAATCATAACTTATAAAGACGAAAAGAGGCTTCGTTCGAGAAACCTAAATAAAATTATGTATGTACGATATCAATGGTGCCAAAAAATATTTCGACCATAGTATTATTGTTAGAGTTTCATTCGAAGAGATCTTTTTGTGATCTTGTTGCTCTTTCTAGAAATGTACGACTGTTGAATCATCGTTTTTTTCTTTGACTATTGTTTCGTGCATCCTAGAAGTTTGAAATCGAAGGATGTATTCTTCACGTCGACGAACTAATATATTTATAGCACTATATTCTATCACTTCTTGATCTTTCATTGATGCTAGTAAACCACGATGTCGACCCATCAACATAGTTGCAATAAGTATCACTTTACTTCCAGCAGAAAGTATAGAAGCAAAGCTTGTTGTCTTGTTGGGATAACCAAGAGACATACCAACTCCACCAAAAGCAGAAATAATCTCAAAAATAATCTTCAAAAGTGTAATATCTGGATCGGCTGGTGACATTCGACGATATTCAATAGCACAAATAAGAAATATAAAGACAAATAACCAAGTTCGTGTCAATATAAAAAAATCAAATGTATGTTTAAATAGTGCTCTGATAAAATGAATAAGAAACAAACGTAAACGTAAAGCTTTGATACGTTTTGAACGTTTTGGATTGGTTTTTTCATTATCAATACTTTTGGAAAGTTCTTTTTTTGCGAGTTCTTTAGTGACAAGACTTTGTCGACGTAGAAAACCTTTCATTTGTTTGAACAGCGAGGTGTCTGTGGTTGTGGTTGGTGTCATCGAGAATGCACGTTGTAACATCAGTGGAAGTGACTTTGACGTATTTCTTTTGTTATTATTTGTTTCAGCATCGACTTCTGCTTGAGCCTCTAGAGTCAACCAATAGATTTCAAATGGTGATTCATCAAGTGCACACAACATTTGTGGTTTAGTAGCCATCAATAATAAATAGACAAGAAGTGTTGCTGTTGCAAATAAACTAATATCAAACGATTGAAAACCACAAAATCGTAAATTGATAGTTTGAAAAATAAAAATTATGAAACGTATACCAGAACTATATTGTTGTAAGTCTTTACTGTTTAAATCGAGTATAAGTGAAATACCTATTCCCATTGAATATAGTATGATGGTGACACAAAAGTAGATTTGAGTTTGTAGTGTAGGATATAGAAGAGTAGATAGATGATGATTGTTTAGAAGAATATAATCGAAAATTGCCTTGTGACGCCAAGGAGCAAGTCGACGTGATAGAAAAACAACATTACGTAGTAGAATCGGAAAGAATGATGAACCACTCATCACCAACTAAAAAAAAGTAGATGCTAGTGAAGAAATGACAACAAAGGCAAAAAAGGCATTACTAGAACTAGAACAATATTGAGAAAAACATCATCAGCATAACGTGTAAGACTTGTTGAAAAAGGTGTTAAGCCATTTTGATTGAAACTGAAAAGAGTTAGCATACCTGATATATACCATGGACTGAGAGTGATATTGTTCTGCATTAAATATTGAGGACTACTATGTGTCTGAAGCCATGAACCAATAATGATGAAACCAATGGTATATATAGTAAAAGAAAGACTCAGTATAAGCACGATACACATGATATATGCACGATAACGCAGTTTTACTGGTGTTGGCAATCTTGCCAATTCAGCACGAACATGCGATGGCAAATTTTGGTCCCGTCGAATATTTGACGCTTCGCATTCATCATCATTTCCCAAATCACATTTTTCGTTATCATCATCAACATTGGTACCTTGAGTAGTTTTGTGAGTTTGAGCTTTAATTATGAGTGCTGGTAGTGTACTCATTGCAAAACCTGATATGAATGCAAATCCCATCATAACAAGCTGTGATGCTCGAGAGAGCTGCGCAAAATCTATGGTAGTTAAACCACAACTACATATAGTTGAAACAGTCGTAAACCAAGAATC